CTCAAATGAGACAATAGAAGAGCTGAGAGCTTGTAATGTACACCAAGTGGCTGGTTATTCTGAGATTGTGAATTGTTCGCGCTTCTCTAAATGGGAGCGTATATGGCGTGCAATGGGATATGTCATCCGGTTCATTGAGAATTGTGAGAGGAAGTGCAAGAAGATACCAATGCAAGGAGGTCCATTAACTCAAGATGAACTCGAAAAGTCGGAAACCCTCCTTTGGAAAATGGCTCAAACAAGTAAATATCCGGATGAAGTGGCTGTTCTCACACGTGACAAAATCAAAGCTCGAGGACACATGGTTGAAAAGTCAAGCCCCCTTTACAAGCTGTCACCATTTGCGGATGAAGATGGAATTATTCGATTGGACGGACGCATCAAAAACGCACCGACAGTGCCGGAGCACACCAAGTTTCCGGTGATACTACCTAGGGATCATGTCGTCACATTTTTGATTTTGGATTCCTATCATCGTCGCTATCTACATGGAAACAAAAACACTGTTCTGAACGAAGTGAAACAGCGTTACTATATACCGAAACTGCGTACTTTGATCGACCGAACAATCAAGCAATGCGTCTGGTGCAAGGTATATAAGGCGCTGCCAACTACTCCTAGGATGGCAGCTCTTCCTGCAGTTAGACTGACTCCAAACTTTCGACCATTTAGCTTTGTTGGGGTCGATTACTTTGGACCAATCTTGGTTAAGGTAGGACGAAGCAACGAGAAAAGATGGGTCTGCTTATTTACCTGTTTGACAATAAGGGCAGTACATATGGAGGTAACACATTCGTTGTCAACAGAAGCGTGCAAGATGGCAATAAGAAGATTTGTTGCTCGGCGAGGATCACCCTTGGAGTTTTATTCGGATAATGGAACTAATTTTCATGGCGCGAATAATGAATTGATGTCACAGTTGGATCAAGGGGATATAGCTGAATCGTTTACCAATGTGAATACTAAGTGGATATTCAATCCTCCTGAGGCTCCCCATATGGGCGGGGCATGGGAACGAATGGTTAGGTCAGTAAAAACCGCTCTGGAAACCATGCCTGCGTTTCGAAAACCAAACGATGAAACCTTGACTACAGTGCTAATTGAAGCAGAATCCATAGTTAATTCTCGTCCACTGACATTCGTTCCTTTGGATTCGGATGACCAAGAAGCAATCACACCTAATCATTTTCTGTTGCTCAGTTCGAGTGGAGTCAAACAACCTTCGAAAGCGTTCACAGAGGACAAGCTTGCTTTGAAGAGAGACTGGGAGCTGGGACAGAACTTGGTGGATTATTTTTGGAGGCGTTGGGTACAAGAGTATCTACCTTCACTTACTCGTCGGACAAAGTGGTTCGACGATACTAAGCCTGTGGAGTTGGGTGATCTTGTGGTCATTGTAGGTGAGAAAAAGCGGAATGATTGGATAAGAGGACGAATTGCTAAGGTGATCACAGCTGCAGATGGACGAGTACGACAAGTACAAGTACAAACAAACAATGGAATACTAAAGCGCCCGGTTTCCAAGGTAGCAGTTTTGGAAGTTCTGGGTAAAACTGGAGCAGGGAACCAGTGTTACGAGTCGGGGAATGTTACATCGACAAATCCATCGCAGTAGAAGGCTGGAACGAAATCGCTCAATGCTACGTAGAGATCTGTGGCTTGACTCGCAGTGGAATCCGCCATTTTGCAAAAGTGTAGTGAACAGGAATCACGTTGATTATATTGCGTATATTATTTGGCTTTTATTATTATTTACGTTTGGAAATAAGGAGAAACTAAAATGTAAGATCGATGTTACAACACAGAACTCATGTAACTAAATTTTGTATTTTCTTAAATATAGCTTTGAAGCAACTCCAACCAAAACTATGCGAGTTTGACTAAAAGCACTCCAGAATTTCCAACAATATGTCTATTAAGTAGTCCTTAAGTTTTCTACTAGCGTAGCATTAACCAGATTTAAATAAAATGCTCCATTTGCAAAATAAAAGCATTTTAAGATTGCATTCGTATACCTCCCCGTGGAAAATTATGAAACCATCATCACTTTCATAGTTCTTATATTCTCCACGAGTGCCAACTTTGATTTGCCATAATAATCCAAAACAAAATTGTGAAAATCAGAAATGATCCAGAAAGCAAAATAATCAAATTCATTTTGGGCAAAATGATTATTTTGAATATTGTCGACTCCAGAGCCTTAAACCGGGATTTTATCATCAGTTCAGCTTGAGGCAATAATTTACCATCGGTTTGTGTGTAAAAATTAACACGACACGTCCTTCAGCGCTATATTTGAGTAAAATGAAAATAATCATTTTGCATTTGATCCTCAAAATCATCCCCAGCAAGATGAAGACGAATATTAATATTGACAACTACGCAGGCGAAAATGAACATTCAGCCACGAATGAAGAAAAACAAATGTTGACTACGATACTCAGAGGTTGCCTTGATCAAGACAATGTTGTTATGGACGAGTGCACGGATGGATTTGAGTTCACTCACTCGACAAAAAGTGACACAACAGCGGGGTCATGAACACATGAATAATACTCACGTAGCATTTGAAACGGGTCTATCAACTTATGTACACAAAACTTGTAAAGCCTTTTTCGCGCGAACCGAATACGCTCACGCAAACTAACAACACCATCGGGCAGAGGAAATTCTCCCCTTCCCGATAGTGCTCTTGGTTTGTGTGGGCGAACTTCGGTTCTCGTGAAAAGGACCTAGCAAATTATTTACAAAAGTTGATAGGCCCTTTTCAAATGTTACGCGCAGGCATGGAAAATCATTTGCATTCATTTCGTGCATTCATTTACATTCATTTGTCCCTAACTTTTTTCATCGACAGAATTCCGCAAAATGATGTATTGAGTTTGTGTAGGCTTTGTTATTGGCTAGAACTTTTGTCAACAACTCAAATCCGTATCTCTTATGCATGACGAACCAGAGCGAACAGAAGCCACTACTGTTTTTCAGTGAATGTATTTTAGATTCACTGAAAAACACTAGCAAGTTCTGCTCGCTCTAGTTCGTGATGCATAAGAGATACAAGTTTGAGTTATAACCAAAAGTTGTAGCTAATAACAAAACCTACAAAAGCTCTATACATTATTTTGCGGAATGCTGTTGATGAAAAAAGTTAGAGGCAAATGAATGTAAATGAATACATGAAATAAATGTAAATGATTTTCCATGCCTGGTTACGCGAGCATTATTCATGTGTTCATTTTTAGTAAACAGGGCCCCGCTGTTATGTCAAAAAAATCCGTAGATGAACTAAAGTTCACCCGTGCACAGGTCTATATTTACTAATCATGAACACTAAATGTTCATGAATAATGAATAATGAACATTTAGTGTTCATGATTAGTAAACATTGCCCGCCTTGTGTCACTTTTTCTCGAGTGAGTGAACTCAAATCAATGAAACATCAAATCGTCCATGTCAAAATTCAGATTCATGCAGGTAGTTGGTCTATCTGTTAAGGTTGTCTTCATTTTCAGCTATGTTGAGTGTAGAAGGAATGATTTTGATCAGCACTGTGTGCATCAGCTGAGACCGACTAGCGAGGCACCAATTGTTCGACGAAACGCTTTTTTGTTGAACAATCATACAACATCTGTTCGGTTTATATAATGCCTCGTTGCTGTGCAGTTTTCGCAATGTTGTTGATAGCAACAAGCAAATAAGATATGAACTGCAAAAACGTAGGTTACTTTGATTTCCAACAGTGTCGAGCCAACTCTCAGCTTCATTTTTGCATGTTGTGAATAGTCTCGTAATATCAAAGGAGCTTGTAAAGCATGATATTTTGTTTCAATATCACGCATGATATTGAGAGCGTATGAGAGCGGAAAAATATCATTTGATTGATGATTTTGCCATCACTGATTCAAATACTTGTATCGTGACAAATTAAAACTTAAATATGTTTACTTTTGAGCAGTACGAGATTTTGGATGGTTAAAAGTAAGACGTCCAACGGCAGTTAAAAACTGCTCGTATTATGAAAAACGTCTGGAATGGACATTAAAACAATACAAAACAAATTATGTGGATTTTGTCATAAGAACTGTTCAAGAAGGATTTTTTGAAATACTTAATAAGGGTGATTTTTAGTCACTTCTGGGCTAGTTCGTCACCAACTCAAGAAGGAGTAATATCCAAGAGTGAGAAAAGAATTTCGAGTATTTTAAGTTGTACTGTCCAATAGTTTTTATATGCCATATAACTGCTCATGTTATAAAGAAGCCAAAAGGTCGAAAGACAAAAGGTCGAAAGACAAAAGGTCGAAAGGACAAGGGTCAAAAGAACAAAAGCTTGAATGAACAAAAGGTCGAAATTCCAATAGCTGATGTAAATATTCTGAAACTGATTTCTCATGACTTCAAACAAATTCTCAAAAATAAAATATGATTATATTCTATTTTCCCTTCTGTTGCTGTAATGTTGAATGATATAATAAAAAATACTATCTATTCAATATACCCTTCTTAAAAAGTTTAATCATGAGAATTATTTGCGGTACTGTGATTGATTTATACATTTAAGACTTTGAATTTTGAAAATGTTCACTTCATACTTTGGAAAACTTGTGAGTTTTAGAATAATAATATAATATACGCCGTGTGCACAGTTTAGTGCGTGTCGTATTGTGGGACTTCTTTTTAAAAATCGTTCGGGGACATGTTTTCCATGTGGAAAATGATTATTGGGAATAATAAGTAACATATAAAAAATTGAGTTTTTTTTTCGTAGGCATTTAGAGAGGAAGCAAGAGGTCTAAGTCCAAACGAACGATGATCTTTTTCAAATAAAACATATGCTTCTAAAAATAAACACGTATTTTTGTGATTTTCTTATAACGCTTTAATTACAAGACGACTAGACTTTTTTTTTTGAATATGTTGTTACAGCCATACCATTTTGCACCCAGTTCGCACATGCCCCTTGATACCCGATTATAATCCACTGTAATTCTTTCCTTGCAGCTTCCAAGATCGGGTTGGATATCGTTCACATGCAAGCCCTGTCCGGCCACGACATCGACCAGATGAACGACATCCAGTTGGAGAAGGTGATCAACACCGTCAGCGTGTTCTACCGGGTGACGCCGAAGCACAAACTTGCTATCGTGAAAGCTTTGCAGCACAACGGTCACATCGTCGGAATGACCGGCGATGGCGTCAACGATGGTGTGGCGCTGAAGCGTGCCGACATCGGAATTGCTATGGGCAAAAATGGAACGGATGTGTGCAAGGAGGCTGCCGATATGATCCTGGTGGATGATGATTTCCACACGATTATGTAAGGAATCTCTCGGCGGAAGAAATTTATATAAACGGTTTGAATGAAATTGTTTACTTAACTTTTTCAGAGCGGCCATCGAGGAAGGAAAGGGAATCTTTTGGAACATTAGGAACTTTGTCAGATTTCAGCTGAGTACGTCGATTGCGGCTCTTTCGTTGATTGCCCTCTCGACGTTGATGGGAATTTCTAATCCATTGAATGCTATGCAAATCCTATGGATTAACATCATTATGGACGGTCCCCCGGCTCAGTCGCTCGGTGTCGAACCGGTAGATCAAGATGTGCTCAAACAGAAACCTCGCAACGTGAAACAGGCAATGATTTCCAAATCGCTCATCATCAACGTGCTCCTTTCGGCTGGCATCATCATTCTGGGAACGCTCTGGGTGTTCCAAAGGGAGATGGCCGATGGGACGGGCGTCACCAGCCGGGACACTACGATGACTTTCACCTGTTTCGTGCTGTTCGATATGTGGAATGCTCTGAGCTGTCGGTCACAAACCAAGAGCGTTTTCCAGGTTAATATTTTATCCTAAACATTCTACTAGGTGACCGTGTTGCTAAAATTCTCCTATTCCAGATCGGTCTGCTGACCAACCGAATGTTCCTGCTGGCGGTGGCCTTCTCGCTGCTCGGTCAGTTGCTGGTGATTTACTTCCCACCGCTGCAGATGGTATTCCAAACCGAGGCGTTGTCGGCGATGGATCTCGTATTTCTCGTGTCGCTCACGTCCAGCGTGTTCATCGTGTCCGAGCTGAAAAAGTGGTTCGAGCGCACAATGGAACGGCGAATGTACCGGAAGCGCACCGAGCTGGACTTTGTATGACAAACAGCTCACGCTGGAAGATTGCATAAGGATTAAGCTAAGCTGAACAACAGATAAGATGGAAGAAATGAAATGAAAAACTACCGACATCCGGCACACATTTCAACACAAGTAAACACTGTAAGAGACTTATTTAAGCTTAACGTTCGAACCGGTGGGAGAAAGAGCGAGAAAGAGAGAGAGAGAGAGAGAAAGAGAGAAAGGTATGAATCTGACAACATGAGACATGGATTGGATCGACTAATTGCGTTTTTCTCACAATTTTACTTTTCGGACCCAGCAACCGCAAAAATCAATATCTTAAATTAAAATTATTCACGCTATCAAGCGAAACACATTCGACAGACGGCAAGCTAAAAGTATACTGAAACGATATTCATTTCTATTCCGATAAAATCGATACAAATCCATCCGGGGTACAGAAGATACGGTTTTCATTTTTTTTTACTTATTTACAAGATTAGTTTAGCTTTTTTTAGCGTTATTTATAAAGCATAATTGTAGATATTTTCTTACGAGCAAGCAAGAATGTCATTGGTCTATCTCATCGAAAGTTTAGGTTAATTTATATACATCCGGAACCCATTTCCTGCCCATTGATAGCTGAATCTAATAGGAAGATTATTAAACACAAGTGAAGACAAAAGTAAGTTTTTCAGTTGTTTTTTGTTTTGTCTCTATTTTTTTATTTATGTTATTTGAAAGAACTAATGTTTTGAAAAAAAAAACTCCTTCGTTGTTATGTTTTCTTCGGTGCCTTCTTAGCTGATTTGTTGTGTTTGTAGTATTTTTTTTTTGTTCTTCATTATTATTAAATTGTGGATATCTAGTGGAATTCAGATGATGATACGCTGTTTAGCACCTGCTTAAATAGAACATAAATAATATTTTCCTAGCAAATTTTATGAATTCGTTACCCCGTGGACTCAAGGTAAATTGAACACTTTTTAGTTTGAACCCCGCTAACATCATTTAGCACATGGAATGGAGAAAAGCGAAATGGAACGATGCGAAACGGAACGCAGAATCAAGCGAAACTTGTTTTTCTGATGGTCTTAGAAGTTCAAATAAAAAATGAACCCCGTTGATATGCGCGCTAGATGGATGCTGAGTGGTCAAGAGCTCACGGTCTGCTGGTGTTAATGAGTTATTTGTCGTTAATGTTCATGAAAAGTTCACTATTTTCCATAAAAAGTGCCAAAACAAAAATGTTTACAGGCGGATTTGGAAAGATTTGGACCTGTTTCATACGACCAAATGGTGTATGCTGGTCACAAATGCCTGGCCAAATTGATTTCCTATGCAAGTGAATTTTGCGAATGAACACGAAGAGAGAGGAATGATTATAGCAAAAATAATTTTAGTAAACAAACTAACACTTCTTCCTTCATTGGCACATTTGTATTATGTGCCTAGCACGAAGTGTCGTTCAGTGGTGACGGTAAGCTCCAACTCGGATTATCTTTTAATACCGTCCCTGTATGGATGTTCTGCAGAATGCTTGCTTAGAGTCGGGTTGATCAACTCTGATGTCGACAGCTAAGCAGCCGGACATTCTTGATCGGGATTTAATCCAAGGGTAATACTGGTTGGAGCTTACAACCATGTAGGGAACCGGGAAAACCAGGAAATAGCCGGGAATTTCGATGACAAATTGGGAAAACATATACTTTGTTCTGTCAACGAAAAAATATGATTTTGGACCTTGAAAAAAAAACAAGACCATTGGACTGAATTAGATATTCAAAATACAGTCACTACGAAGAATTATTATGAGAATTTTAGAATTTTCTTAGAAAGCAATTTTGAGCAAATTTTACAGTGAATTCTAAAGATAACACCCTGGCATTTCAGAAAAAAAATCGTTGGGAGTTTTGAGATGAACTCCAAGTCAACTGTATAGGGCCACCCACATTAGATTCGTTTGCGTTGCGTTGACGTAAATTTGACAGTAAGACAATAGATTTAACTGTCCAATCCGGATCTAATGTGCGTGGGCCTTATGAGTTCAACCCAGCCCTGTGGAAAATTCTACGACAATTGTGAAGAGGAATCCGTGTAAAATGCCAAGGGAATTGTATTTTAGGCAGGTTTAGGTAGTGAACCGAGGCCTTCGCGCGATAAATTTTGTCACGGTTCTCTGAAATTCTCTAGACAGGTACTGAAGCTGTCTATAATAACACTAAATTAACTGTTTATTCGACTGCTAACTGTTCAAGCAAAGGCGAATCAATATTAGAACTATTTTACAAATCAACACTAAATCCTATTCGCTTATTTTTGCTGAGTTGTTTTCACAGCTGTAAAATTCAGTAAACTAAAATAAAAAAAAAACGATAGTTTTCTCTACAGTTATACAGATTGTGTTCTTTTAAAATTATTTAATGATAGAAAATAAAACATGTTAATATTGTTCGTTTCAATACGTGTGACGATTATTTTCGATTTACTGATTTTTTCAGTTGTTTGAAAACCCAGTAAAAAATTACCGACCCTCGTAAAATAATCTCTATGAAAAACCGTTCACGAGAACGGTGGTTTACGAATCCACGCGGTTCTCCAAGGTTCTTCACGGTTTAGGTTAAATGTTCTAATTTATTCGTCACGCTGGTTATTAAACAATTATCAGTCGAACAAAACATCGGATTTACGAAGACAAATCACAACATTTATGTGAACCGCAACAGGTCCTGTCCAATGCAGCCTCGGTTCAGTACCCCCGTGCAGGTGTATGTGAAGAGTGGTCCAGTACAATCTCAAATCGATGAAAGCATTCGATACATTTTATGGAATGCAAAAACTACAAAAATCGCGTGTTTCCAAAAACGAGAAGACACCGCATTTGTCTAAATTCACAAATGTTAAACATGGTAAGCGCCAGGTAATCAGTTAGAGCAGTAATCGGGATGTTATTATGATTGATAGCGATGTGTGAAGAAAACTGCAACCATCTAGACACTATGATATGAGAAGAGGTCCTTGGTATGGCAATTTTCTCACCCTTAGAGGTTCTTTTCTGACTATTTCTGAACTCAACGCTACGGTCAGAAATTCACCCAGTTATCCCACATCTTACATATGAAACACTTGTCTTTAATCCAATTACATTGTTTCTTCTTTGAGCACATTTTGAGAGCCAGCTCCGCAAAAAATTCGCTGCTGGATTCCTGCGGTGGGAAACCGTAAAAGGAGCGTTTTCACCTCCAAAATTCTGCAAGTTAATTCCATCTCTATTGCAATAGCAGCAACATCACAATACTAAAACTTCACTGATAAGCTAATTTTCCGAGATAATCAGGTTTACAATGAACACCTAGAATACTCAATAAAAGTACTCTATGCTGTCAAGGCAATACTTGTCTACGAATTTTTGAATCATTATTCCATCATAAAAGTGCTTCTTCAAGCAATCGAAACAAAATTCATACAAGCAAGACCATTATCGAAGACATCATATGAAGAAGACTGGCAACTTTTCCATGATCCAAGCGACTGATACAGTAGCGCTGCATTTGAGCGAAGGTGGAAGCAACGCATAGACAAATTAGCAAATAAACAAACCTTTTTTCTGAGGATGTAATCTTTGCTATCAAATTCGTTTGAAGCAATCACCTTTGAGCGGCAGATGACGCGATTGCCAGTCTTCTTGATATGTTGTCTTCGCCATTATCCTAAATTCTCGTTTCGTTTATTCTCTGAACTAATCAGGCTGTTAGGAACACAATAAGGAACTAGAACTACAAGTATTCAGAACATAATCATTCTCTTCTCTAAAACTCTATACCATCTACCCGAAAGTTAAATTGTCTCAGACGCAATTAGGTGTAACAACATCTATTAAGAGACGTACATACCCATTTGGAGGTTAAATTTTGCCAGTGTTGGCAAAATCAGAAATCAATTGATATTTTTCCGGACTCATGCGCTCGCAATATCACGCGTGATATTGGAACAACATATCATGCTTGATATTGATTTTACAAGCACCTTTGATATTGCGAGACTATTCACAACGTGCAAAAATCAAGCTGAGAGTTGACTCGACACAAAAATGATTCCATTGCACATCGTTTTCATAGTTTGCTATCTCTTTTTAATCTATACCGATGGCAGACGCGAAGGGACTGCTGCAAGCCGTTATGGAAGTTTCGGTTGCATTCGGGTTAAAGCAAAAATCATTAAACTCAATCTCACCACAGTTTGGTGAGATTTGCAGTTGGTGAGTTTTGTTAGCTTGATATTCTGAGCTGCGATATCACAGCTTGCAAAATCAACCGCAGTTGTTTGCTTGTTGATTTTTGTCTACCAAAATCAAGCGTGATCTTGCGCGTTGGTGAGATTTGATTTTTTGATATTTTCTCAACACTGAATTTTGCAACAACTAACAACGTCTAGAGTCTACGGAAATGGATTTTTATCAATCCTCAGGATCTGAATTAATACTAGTCCCAACATCATCGAAATAACCATTTTATAAGAGTTATTTTTGCTCAACTTGCAGAAGATTGCAACTCTGTTTAAAATTTGGAATTAACAACCATACTCAAACTACACCAAGTAAATAAGTTGTTTGAAACTTGAAGTCAGTCATACTTTTTAATAAGTTTCTGTGGCTAAGAAATATTTCATTGAATTTAAATAAAATTCCCTGAGATTACCTGATTTTCCAGGTCTAAAAATGAATTCCCTGGTTGTTCAGGTTTTCTGCTTTGATCGATTATCTTCAACGATTTTCTCTTTCTTCAATATCTCATCTGCAAAAACATTCTTTGATGTGTTTGATGTTCAGGATGCTAGATGGGAACCTCCTTTATCGAACTATGTGGCACGACATCTGTTTGTGTAGCCGTCGGTGAAGAGAATCTATCAAAGCAGATAGGACCATTTGAAAGGTTCATCTAGAATTCCATCCCCTCGTCAATCAACAAGCATATTGGTATGCCTCTCAACTGATTCTGCAGACCTTTAGTTAAAATTCAATTCCATTTCAGGAGTACCAATTCTGTGTCGGCGAGAGGTCTGTACCAAGATGCTCTTCAGTGGACAACATAATGGAACAACCAACAATCAATACGAAACTAATAATTTTAAAATGGCTCACTACTTGACTAGCCTATTGGTCCCAAGCAAATCGATTAACGTACCCCATTCTAGTGGAAATTCTAGTACTAC